GCCAGGAGCCCCTAGGCCAGGCTGGGAGCACACCCAGTCCCCTACCTCCTCCCCTTTGGGAATCCGGCGGCTGGAGATGATGATAATCTTATCTTCCTTGTCGAAGGTCACGACCTCAGCCACACAGTTCGGGGCGCACGAGTGGTTAATGTACCTGGCAGGAAGGCAGAGAGGAGGGCATCAGAGTGGGGATGTGGGGACAAGGGGCAAGCCCAGGTGAGGGGTCAGGCCCTGCGTTCCCCTCTCCCCGCAGCAGGCACAGCTTGGGGGACGTGATACGTTGAATCAATGCCAGATACCCATCGCGCAGCTTTGGAGGGGAGAAAGGGTGCCTGACAGAGTGGGGTGGCTGGAGCCAGGACTCCTGGGTTCTCTTCCAAGCTATGCCACTGCCAAATCCCTTCCTCGCTCTACTTGGGTTTCCAAGTTCCCCATAGCCCCCGGATCATGGGGCTGACGTGGGTTCAGAGGGCGGGATGTGACTGCGCTCACCCAACGGCGCAGGTACCCCTGTGCGCTGGCCTTTCAACCGGAGATCGCGCCAGACTTGAACCCAGCACCTTCCAGATTGTAGGCGAGTGCCATAAGCCCTCAGCCACTCCCGTCCGCACAGCAGGAGGCTGGGAGTGTATGTGGGGTGGTCAGTGACTGCAGAGCACCCGGCTGAACAAAGCTACAGGGGGCAAGCGGCTCCCAAGGGGGCATTTGCCCCACACCCTCACCTGGCTGGGCCCCCCGTCAGCGTGGCGTCGATGACGTGTTCATTGTTGATGCGGAACATGTAGATTCCTCGGTTCTGGGGCCGGAAGAGCAGAGACAGCCAGTTATGCAGCCGCAGAGGCAAGGGTGTCCCTGGGAGCAGCCCAGGCTCTGAGCCTGCAGGGTGCTCCAGCCCCCCCCCCCCCCCGGCCCCACCCCTCACACCTGCTCCTCGTAGATCTTCTCGCGCCGGTTGGCCACCTCGTTGCGGATGATGGTGCCGATGTACTCGATGACCATGGTGTGCTTCTCCAGGTCCTTGGCAGCGTAGAGCCCCAGCCCCTGGATGCGGGAGCGCGCCAGGTACACGTTGTTCTTCCACTCGGTCTTGAGGCGGCGGTACTGCGAGGACTTGGAGTGCACGAACTGCTTGCTGTAGGGCGTGTTGGTCTCACCCGTGAAGGTGCTCTGGTAGGCCTTGGACATGCTGGTGCTGTTCAGGGTGTGGGGCCTGCGACAGGCGGAGAGCATGGGCACGGCGGCAGTGGGGCAGATGGGGGTGGGGGTAGGGACCAGCACTGACCCCCACCGCCCAGCACATGGGAGAGCCCAGCCCATTGGGGCCCAGTTTGCAATCCCCTCCTCCCCGGCCCAGCCCCAGGCCTGGGGAATCCCAGCTCCAACCCAGGCCAGGGCCCCTCCCTCACAGGTTGCCCCCACATGGGGAATGGCCCTCCTCCCCCTCCCCCGCTAACCGTTTGTAGTGGGTGAGGATCTTGGGCTCGGAGCGGGCGCAGCCGGTGGGGTTGATCATGAGCGGCAGCTCCATCAGCGGGTGGCGCCCATAGCGGAATAGGTAGTTCTGGCAGCTCTCCACGCCAGGTAGCTGGGAGGGACCAAGCAGAACCCGCCGTGGGTCGGCTGCCAGCACCACAGTCCTGGTGCCTGCAGGGGACCCACTGAAAAGGACGAGCCCTGTTCCACACCCCCGTCCCCTCGGGGTGCTTCCCTGAGTGTGCCCAGCTGGCACCGGCACCGACCCCCGTGCTGGGCCAGGGTCCCCGGGGGAGTCCCGGCCGACGTGGTTCCGAGCGTATCGTCGGGGGCTGTGTCCCTCCCACCTCCAGCCTGCCCCTCCCATTGGGTGAGGGGTTCAGGGCTCCCCTCCGGTACATACGGACTCGGCGATGCGCAGCACCGCGTGCACCGTGAGGCCAAAGAGCTCCTCGCCCTTCAGGTACTCGGGGAAGAGCCGCAGCATGTCTGCCTCCTTCCTCATGGCCGCCACCGGCTCGATGATGCGGTTCCAGACGGCTGGGGAGGGAGGGAGGGAAACATGAGACTTGGCTTCCTGACCTGCTCCCCGCCAGCCCCCCTCACCCTCAGCAGTGATTCCCGGTGGCGGGAAACAAGCCCAAGGCATCAGCTCCCCCACCACTGTGAAATGCAGCCACCTCTGGGGCGGGCTGCAACAGCAGGTTAACAGCCACAGACGGGTCACCCAGTGCTCCAATGCAGCCAGCTCTAGGGTGGGACACAGCAGCTGTTTATACAGGGATCCCCCCCTCCCCAAGGCTGAGCCGGGCCCAGTCTCACCCTGTGGCGAGGAGTCGGTGAAGACCAGGTCCTCCAGGCCCTGCTCGATGACCTGCACCACGAACTCGGGGCGCCCGTTGTTCTCGCAGATGGTGCAGCGGTAGCAGCAGCGGCGGTTGTTGGTGCGCAGGCTCCAGTAGATGCGGGTGGCCTCGAAGCCCACGGGGTAGAGGGCTGTGACGCTGTGGAAGTCGCCCATCTGGTGGGGCAGCAGCTGGCCGATGGCATGGAAGAGCAGGCCGCCCACGCGGAACATGTGGAGGCGCTCGCCGCGCTGGATGATGCTGGCGATCTGCTTGACCTCGTCGCGCTCGATGTAGACGCGCCGGAAGACGGTGAAGGTGCTGAGCTCCTGGTCGCAGGGGCCTTTGAGCTTGTGCAGCGGGCACAGCATGGTCTTGTCCTTGAAGAACATGCACTTGGCCCGGATGGCGCAGGCGAAGTGGTAGACGCTGGGGCAGCGGATGCGGTTGCAGCTGTTGGTGGCGCCCGTCTTCTGGCACAGGGAGCACTTGGTGAGCAGCCCACGGTGCAGTGCCCCCTCCACGTTGATCAGCGCCCCGCCCTGCGTCTCGTACACCTCACTGGACCACAGGGCGCAGTTCAGGTGCACCCAGAGGTCCAGGTCAAGGTTGAGGAGGCGGGCGGGCCCATCGGTGGCACCATCCCCCTCCTCGTGACAGAAGCAGCACTTGCGCAGGTCCCGGGGCACCTTCTCGGGCCGCAGGGTGGTGCCCAGCTTCTCGATGAACTCGGAGATCTCCTCCTCGCCGTCCTGCTTGGCGCCGCCCTTCTGGATGGTGATGAGGAAGCGGAGCCGCTTCCACCGCACCCCCTTCCACTTCTTGAGCCGGGGCCGGGGCTCCTCTCCCTCCTCCGGGGGCCGCGAGCGCTGCTTGAGCTTGGGCGGCGAGCGCGCCGCCTCCTCCTTGGAGGGCGGGGAGAGGGCTGGCGGGGAGGGGGGCGCGGGGGCCACCTCAGGGGGCGCCTCTGGGATCCTGTCCCCGTCGGCGGGGCTGGCAGGGGAGGGGACAAGGGGCGACAGGGGCGGGGACGGCTCCTGGGGCAGGATGGAGAGCTGACGCACGTCCAGGTTGGAGACGTTGTTCACGTAGCAGTGCTGCACGGCCTTCTCCAGGCCCGGGCTCTCCTGGGGGCACAGAGCAGGGCTGATCAGAGCGCGGCCGCAGGGGCTGGGCCCAGCGCTTCTCAGCGCCTCCCCCGCACCCCATAGCCAGCCAGCCTCCCTGGGGGGGCTCACCCAGGAGATCACCCCAGCCAGAGGCTGCCAAGCCAGAGTGCGGCTGGCCCTGTGCTTTGACACCCCCCCCCTGATTCCGGCCCCGGGCCAAGAGATGCCCACCCCCCTGCGCCTGAGAAGCCCCCGCCGCGCGTCACGGACCTGTTTGAGCAGCGTCAGGATGTCCAGCTCGTTCTTGAGGCTGTACCCCGGCAGCATGGCATCAAACTGTTTCAGCCACTCGGTGCCAGCATCGGGGGCTTTCCCGGCCAGTGCCGCCCTGGCCTTGCCGCCGAGCCCACCTACGAGAGAGACGGGTCCCCATGGCTGCACCGCAGGCTCCCAGCGCCCGGGCGGGGGGGATGGAGAAACCCTCTGTCCACAGGGCTCCTCCCCCAGAGAGGGGGTCCCAGGGCCTGCCCGATACTCACCAGCCCCGTCCGTCTCCACCTTCTTGGCCTCAGGGCCGGAGCCCCGCACCGGGCTCTCGGGGAACAGCACCTCGTAGGAGCTGGGGATCTTCACGCGGAGCAGCTCGGCCACGGCCACCATGACGCCGTTCAGGTTCTGGGGCAGCAAGAGGCTGGGTCAGAGATGCCAGGGGCAGGACCCTGCTCCTGAGCTCTCCGGGGCAGGGCCCGGCGAGACGATGCCAGGGGGCTCTCCGCATGGGCCGAAGGGAGCCCCGGCCCTCCCCACTCCCCCCACACGCGGCGCCTCCCCCACCTTAGCAGCTGTGGCCGAGACGGTCAGCATGACGGAGACTTCGCTGCCTTTCCCCTTCTCCCATGCGACGCCCTGCGCCAGGGCCACCTTCCCGCCGTGCTCCTCGGGGGGCCTTGGGTCAGGGAACACTGAGAGCAGGAGGAAAGACAGTTTAGGTGTGTGCAGCGCCCACCCCCAGCTTCCAGGGACCCCCATACACCCCCCAGGCCACCCCAGCCACGCCAAGAGGACATGCCTCCTGGTCCCTCCCTGGGTATCCAGCCCACTTCATAGGGTCCCCCCATACACGCTGACCCCAGCCTCCAGGCCAACCCAGCCCACACCCCAGGGCCCCCTATACACACTGCACCCAAGCCAACCCAGCCCTTAAAGGGGCACTCGCCCACGGGGATATCCTCCCCCCAGCTACCCAGCCCACCCACCCCTACCCCTGCCCGTGCCCACCTGGGATGCTGGCCCTGGGGATGATGGGGATGACGGGCGACAGCACCCGCTCCGGCAGCTCCGGCTTCACCTCGGCCAGCAGGGGGAAGCGGGGCGGCTCCTCGCCCAGGACGCTCTCTGGGGACGAGGCGGGAACGATGCTGTCGGGGGAGTCGCTCTCCTCATCGCTCTCCATCCTGAGAGGGGGGACGTTGGTGAGACACCGCAGACCAGGGACCCCGCTGCCATCACTCATGAGAGCCCGGGGGGCCATTGCCCCTCCCCCACTACACCCAGGAGATTCCCCACAACCCCAGCCCCCCCCAGTACAGTGCTTGGCATGGCCAGGGGACACCCCCACCCTCCCCAAAGGAACTGGGGAGGGGCAAAGCAACGGCCCAGCCCAGGACGGGAGCCCACCCCTGGCCCAGCCGGCTGCTCCCCCAGTCCCTCACCTCACGTCCTCGGTCTGGTTGTGCGGGGGCGTGGGCAGGGCCGCCAGCAGGTCCAGGCTCTTCACCTCCACGGCTGGCGCGTCTGGGCGAGGGAAGGAGGGCGAGGGTCAGGGAGCACCAAGGCCTGGCGCCAGGAGCCAGACGCTGTCCTGCCATGGGCATGCGGCCCAGCACATCAGCCCCGCCCCCGGCCCTACAACTCCGCCCCTGTCAGCCCCGCCCCCGGCTCTACAACTCCACACCAGCCTGTCAGCCCCACTCTCCCTGGCAGAAGCTCCTCCCACATCCCATCCGTGCTGCTTCTGGGTTGGCCAGCAGGGGGCACCGAGTACCCACACGACCCCCCTCCCCCCCAGAGGTCATCGCCCCCCGCAGACACTGCTCCCCTGGGGAGGGGGCAGGTTGCCAGCTCCAGCCTGGGCCCCAGCTGTGGGACTGGGCGTGTAGCCCTCGCTCGCCTTACCCTTCCGGCCTTCGGCTTCCCGGGCCTGGTCCGGCTCCTTGGGCTGCTCGGCCAGCTCCTCCGAGGAGGTGACGCCGTTCACCATCTTCTGCTGCACGGAGGGGGGTGGGTGGGGGGCAGCGAGGAGGGCGGGGTGGGCGGGTTGCTCAGGTTGTTCTGCCGGAGAGGATCCATCATGGATGGTCACTGTCAGGCAGCATCCCGCCCCGCCCCTCCCTGCCCCCCAATCCCTGCTCTCCCTGCCCCTCCTGCCTCCCCCCGCCCCCCCAAGCGGGTGGCTCCGCTCTGTTCGTTCACCCACAGATGGGGAGACTGAGGCACGGGGCCTTGCCCACGCTGGGGCGGGCGGTACCTTGGTGAGCAGCTGGGTGTAGTAGTCAGGGACGCTGTCCAGCACGGCGCTGCCAAACGCCCCCTTGAGCTGGTTCTTGCCGTTGATGGGGCTGCTGCCGAAGGGCGCGAAGAGGCTGAAGTTGGCCGTGATGGTGGGTTCCACCAGGGGCAGCAGGGAGAACTCCTGTGGGGGGAGAGATGCAGTCAGGATGGGACACCCCCGAAACTGCCCAAGCCATGAACCTGTGGGCAGCTTCTCCCCTCTGGGCTGGTACAGAAAATGGGGTACCCCCCCCCGCCCCAGCGTTCCCTCTCGGTTTGTACGTCCATGTGCAGAATGAATTTAGTTATGGGCACCAACGTGGAGGTGACACGCACAACAAAAATCATGTGGTGGGGGTGGGGCCGAGGGATGAGGAGTGCTGGAGGGAGCTCAGGGCTGGGTGCAGGGGGTGACGGTTCCCACTAGGGGTGAAGGCCCTGGGACGGGTCTAAGGGCTGGCACAGAGAGTTGGGGTGGGGCCGGGGCCGGGGATGAGGGATTTGGGGTGCAGTCTGCCCAGGGGCTGTGGTGGGGAGAGAGAGGACTCCCCCCAGCCCCCTCTCGCTGCAGCAGCTCGGGGCCGGGGGAGAGGTGCCTTTTCCCGGCTGCGGCAAGTTCGGGGCAGGTCCATGCTGGGGCTGGCGGGGAGAAGTGCCCCCCCGCCCCCACCGCAGCCCTGAGCCCCTGCACACGGCTTAATAGGCAGATGCACGGTCGTGCAGCTTAGAGCGAACTTAGCCCCCCACCCCACCCCCGGATTGGGGCCCCCTGGCGTGCGACCAGACCAGACCAGACCAGA